AACTTCACCCCTACATGCATGTTGAACTCCCCCACCCCCATGCGCAGGGTTCCGTCATGTCCAAAGGGGATGAAAGCGATCGCCATGCAGAGGAGGAAGAGAGCTGTGCGTAGGGAGGTGGAGTCGCTCACGAATGCCAGTGTGCCCATCTTGGAGGGAACCTTGACTGACATTCTTAGGACAGCACCCAAAATGACATAGATTATTTCAGGGATGGAATTTTCTGGACTACATATTCTCCATTCTGGGAGTTCTGCCTACCTTGTAGACACCTTGTTCTTGTAATGTGCCATCAACTCAGAACTGACTTATAACAACCCTAAAAGGCTGTTTATGGCAAGTGAGACATTTACGGACTGTGTTTACCAGTTCTAATCCTCACCCATCCAGTGAGTTTCCATGGCTGCATAGAGATTTGAACCCAGGTCTCCTAGGTTGTCACTCTGTCCACTACATCACAGTGGGTATCCCACTACAGCCACTATAGAAACATCTAAATATAATGAACCTTGGAGAAAGGCCTAAATTAGAAATCTATGCTAGGCCTATTTTCACCCAAATGTCCTGTTCCTGCTCCAGTGCTAGCTGGGAGCTTTCTTTCTGAGCAGGAAGCTTGGGTGGATTTAGATCTAACTAAGCCTCAAAGCCTTCTAATTTATGCCTTTCTCTTGTCATCTTTGGCCCTGACAAGGAACTTTGGGATCATGTGGTTTGAGTTAAAGATAATGGGGTCTGAAACCCCTATTGTGCAGGTAGTTTCGTTAGAGATGGATAGTAAAATGTATGATTCATTTCCAGTGAGAATATACCAAAATTCACACATGTCTTGAGATGGAAAGAACTTGAGATTTTAAATAATCAAATGCAGGAGAAAACGTAAATTAAAAAAAATGTCTGTCTAGGCTGAGGGCTTTGAATGTTTAGCTTTTCAAAGTCTGAATTTGAATCTCTATGGATTCAGTTATATTAGTGATCAATTAGGTTTGCCATCTCTTTTTTTCTGAGAAGGCCCTCACTTTTATCATCTGTATGGCAGACAGATGCAATTTGATGCTCTGAGCATTGAATTTGGGCAGAGCAAATGAAATTTGTTTTTGTTTATTTTTGAAGAGTTTATCAAAATTATCAGATTAATGCATATTTTTGATGGGAAGTACTTGAGATTTAAAACAACTGAATGCAAGAGAAATCAAAATTTACAACTTTTTTCATCCCTGCTCTAGATACTTTTATTTACGTTCTTGGACTTAACTTCTGATTGTCACCAAGACAAGAGCAAAGACTGGAAAAGTTACTTTTTAAAGTTACCAGACTCAGAATTCTGTTCCAAGTTTGGTGGGATCTTTGGAGTTTTAATCCTGAAAAGTAACTTTTACAATCTCTAGATGTGAATCAAGGCAGTAAGCTCCATTTGTGCCCAGTGTGAATCAAATCTGTATTCTTTGGTGCCCATATCATTTGCTTTATTAGGATTTTGAAAGGGAAATATTTCTCCTAGGTCTTTCTCTTGTGTACTTTTAAAAAGAGGGAAACCTCATCTAACCTGCCTTCCCTTCCCCAAAAAAGGAAATAAGGTTCCTAATGAGGTTTATGCTTCCTCCCAGTGGCAGATCCCCCAGATAATTCAAGCATCACTCATTCCCTCCTCAGATTTGCAAATGATTCCTAACATGACAAAAAGGTTTGTATAATTACCATTGCACCCATTTTAGAGCCACCACAAAATTCCATGCAAAGAAAGGGAGGTTTTCGATGTAGCACTTAAAATAATTAAAATGTTTATTTGAAAGTCAAAGTAGTGCCAGCAATAAATGATTGCTTTTCTCAATTCACTACCATAAGTCCTCACTGAACACTCCTGGGATAAGGTTTATTTGTTCCCTGTTGGGATTAATCCATAAATACAGCCTCCACGTGGAACTCATCAGATCTTTGTTTCCCCTTCATTGGTCTCTCTGGAGTTGTAGCAGAGACTAAAGATCAAAATTAGGATTTTTTTTCCATGAGAGAGAAAGGGCTTAGGAGGTTTAATTGGTTTTTCAGAATTTTAAATCCAGATTCTAAGAACATAAAATTAAGCATTGCTAGAGGGGGGTACCTGGTTTCTTAGTCTATTATCACAAAATGGACACTCATATGGAACCTTAAAGATTAAGAAATGTAAGGCCAACACATATATTCTCCTGTTGTATATATATAACAGCATCTGTGTGACCTTGAGTCCACTTTATTATATGCAAGCCTTTTGTTGTTTCTGATACAGTTACGAAGAATATGGAGAAACATATGCATCCTCAGTAGCGTGCAGAAAAAGAAATAATTAGGAAAAAAAGATTTGGAAATCTGAAAAAAGAAGCAGTGTATTGTTGTAAAGTCCTGTATGATGATATCTTCTACAGTACTTCCTTTTTACTTGCTGAGCGCTCTGCTTGCTTCCTACTTGTGGGTATAAAGTAAAAGCAGACTCATACGTACTCTTCATGTTAGCATCGACTGTTGTTTCTATGCCAGGGTGTTTCACACATTTTTTTTAGTGTAATGAGTGGTGAGTACTAAATTTGTGGCAAAGGAAAATCTGACTATGGATGCGATTTACATAGCATGTGAAGTGCTGATTCATCCACTGTGAAGTTGTTCCCTGTGTACATTCACATTAACTGGCCACACAGGGAGAGGGGGAAAATTGACAAAGAAATGGTGCTTTTTTTGCATCTTGTTAACATAGATCTCTTGTAGCCCTCCTGATCTGCAGGAGGCAGAGCTTCAGGAGAGCTCCCTTAATAAGCTGTAAACAAGGGCCAAGTGGCAGTTTCCTCCTCGCAGTCTGTCATTCTTTTTTTGTGTGTGTATATATCTAGGTGCCTTAGGACAGCAGTGCTGGTACCAAGCCTTTTAAAAATGAGAAATAAACAACACTATTTCCGAGGATTATTTGCAAGGATCCAGCCCTCTCCAGAGTTTTAACTCTGCCCCTCAGCCATCACACCACTGTGCTAACCACCAACACCTCTACACACACTTTTTTGCATTGGTTCAAGCCATCACACTGCACTGATAGACCCATTTTTATTTTTAAGTAGAAGCCCCAGTGACAGAAGAAAACACTACTGAGAGGGGATGTTTCAAGGCTGATTCACATTGGCTTTTATGTCATATGGTCAGTAGAAAAAAATGCAACTCAGACAGTGCCAACCCCATAGCATTTCCTACATTATATATCAACATATTGGTACCCTATATCTACTGAAGCTCAATTCACAGATCAACATAATGTACTGTAGTGACAGGCCTACATCTGGACTGGGCTGAAGGTAGATCTGGATCTGCTGATAGGTTTGGGTTTGGTTTCTACTTCTGGCAAGGACTGCTGACTTGTTCAACAGTACCAAAAGCGCAGTTATCCATCCTATATTAAACTGCTAAACTTATGAAAACATGAATGGAAGCACTATGAGTCTCATTCAATTCTTCTGATACTCAGGATTCTTTAATTAGTAAATGCATGTAGATCCAGCTGGGATCACCTTGATCTTCTGGTTAAAAAAAGAAAGCCAAATCAGATGTCATGAACCTGGAATTTGCCATCTGATCCTAGATATGAGGTGAAATTATAGTGTGATTAACCTGTCCATTATTATTTCCATCTATGGCCTATAACTCATTGCACTGTGTGATTAACCTGTCCATTGTTTCCATCTATGGCCTATAACTCATTGCACTAAACTGGCCACGTGATCAAATGCCCAATATATACATATTACAAACTTGAATTTTTTATAGCTTCAATAGTCCTTTAGATCAAAATCCAGAATTCATTTTGCTTCTTCCTGGTTCATCATTCTTGATGCTTTTCCCATGGTATATTTATATGTTGTTGTTTCTATATAAAAGTCAGAGGAGGCAGAAAAAGGCTTATGCACAGATAGTAGCCAGAATCTGGTTGCTGATTTACACATGTGTAACTTGAATTGCATAGGCCAGGGTGGCAAACTGCAGATGCACAGCCAGCAACACAGCCAATGTCTTTTTACTTGACAGCAATTCACCACTGTGAGTTACACAGTTTTTCTTACGCACATACAAATCACCAACAGGATTCTGGCCAGTGGTTGAAATACAAGGGACTGAGAGTGCTGTTCACCTTACTTGAGTTCATTAGTGTAATCTTGGAATTTTTGTACTGCATTCAGTCAGGGATCTGATCTCTATGATATCCCCAAACACATGAGTTTGTTTTTCTGTTATATGATTCAGGTGTTTGCCCACAATTTGCTGTCAACATCTAACTCAATATCTGAATTGGGTGGAGCAGACGTGACTTACTTGTCCAGATAGCTGCCCATCTATCCATTTCCATCTGCACACACATCCCTGCAACTGTACACTTTGTGTCCGACTGCACACTAAAGAAAACCATTTCTTGGCGATGAAAACCACTTCCCTTCCAGTGACTCCATCTTATTCAATCTCTTTTTGGATGGAGGTTGTCCTTCCTCAAAATTAGAGAGGGAGAGCATTTATTGGCCTGACGACTGGATTGCCAGCATGGAAATGACCATATCTCAGAGAGGTGTGGTGGTAACTGTGGAAATACAGAGGATCATCCTGAGAGTCCCCAACACAAGAAGAATCCAAAAATATGGGCAGCTGGATGAGGAGAAGGTCTTTGGTCAACCTAATGGTTCTTAGTTGCACATTGAAAACCAAAGCATTGTCCAGTACTTTCCATTACACTAAAGAATAACGTACAACACTGTATTCTTCCTGGGGAGATCCATTTTTCTCACAGCTACTGTGAAGACTTAGCTAACACAAATGGAAGAACGAAATGATGAAGTGGACTGGTTCATGAAAGCTCACATTAAAATATAATACTTAAGTTTTTAAGGTGCCACATGTTTTTGTCTTTGTTTTGTTTTGTTTGGATTTTGCATGAATTGTTCCCAAGTATCTCAGCCTGGAAGGGGTTTGTTTCATTTGGAATTTGTATCTTCTTCTAGGTAACAGACTGCTCCATGCCCAGAGATTCAAAACATCTCTCCCATCAAATTCTCAGCAGAAATGGGAACAAACATAAATATTCCAAAGGTTGTGTCTGGTTTGTTGCAAGAATGCCAGCAAATGCTGGATCAGCTGTCGCCAGAAGTCGAGGTGCAGACTGAGGGAGACAAGATGGAGTGTCAGCAATATGAAGGTAAGAATCCAGTCCTGGGTGCAAGACAGCTGACTGCACTGAACTTTCACCACCCAGCCTGCCCTATTTTTCCATCTCCTAGCAGATAAGTGTCAAAAGATTATTGGTCTTCTACGACATGAATGGGATGTGAGCTGCAAGGCAGGCAGAGAAGGAAGCCTACTTTGTACCACTGAACTGCTGTCAGTTCTCATTTAAAGCTTCAGTAAACATGAGGCTGTAAGGAGCAGTTTTCGTTTGAGAACAACAATGCTCCCAAAGTTTGGCAATGCACACAAATTTTGATTATAAAAAGAAGGGGGAAAAGGGGGAAATTAATGCAACTTTGAATGCTGGCTGTTATTTGCTTTCCTTTCACTTGATGTCCCTTCCCACCACTAAACCATTTGACAGTTTCTCCTAAGACAAACTCACTACGTTTGTATTTTCTGTCTTTTAAATTCATCTATCTAGAAATGTGGTTTTGAAAATAAACTTAAGTGAGATGGTAGCTAAAAGAACATTGGCATTTGAAATGTTGAATAAAGGACATAAATGCTAGCAACACATTGGAATTTATTATTTAAAACATGTTAAGAAAATGATAGATTGGTTATATAAAAATAATTTATTATGACATCTGATCAAGCAAGTTCTTACATATAAAAGCTCATGCTACAATCAATTTATTAATCCTTAAATGTCAGAAGACTTTTGTTTTTATACCAAAGATTACATGGGCACTTTTCTAGAATTTATTAGTCAGATAAAGCTACTCCAGGATGTTGAAACTAATATTAAACAATTGTATAGCACAAAGCACCGCATATCTACTCATTTTTAAGTCCCACCAAGTTTCACAGAGCAAACTCCCAGGTAGGTTTGCAAGTTTCTAATTTAGCATTTTTGCCTGTAGATTTCCAGATTCAGTCGATTCATAATTAACAGTGATAAAAACTTAGAAGTTATGAAATCTAAAATCTGAGCTTACATTTCATAACTATTAAGTCTCCATTGTTGAACGTGGGTTTGCTGTACTGTTATCTTCAGTCCCTGTTACTGGCTGGATAGTTCAGTAGTTTAGGTATTTGGCTGCAGAGCCAGAGGTTGGGCGTTCGATTCCCCACTGTGCCTCCTGTGAAGTAGAGCCAGTTTGTGTGGCCTTGGGTGAGCTGCACTGTCCCAGGGCACCCCCAGAAGAAGAGAACAA